AGAAAGAGCTTGTGATGTTAAAGACTATAGGAACTTGGAAAATTATCAAAAAACCAGTTGGAGCAAATGTTGTGGGCTTAAAGTGGATCTTTCAAATCAAGAAGAATGCTGAGAGAGGCATAGTCAAGTTCAAAGCTTGCTTGGTAGCACAAGAGTTCTCATAAGTATCTGATGTTGACTACTTCAACACTTATATCTTTATTGCAAGGCTTGCATTAATCTGTTCAATTCTTGCTATAGCTGCAGCACTCAACCTAGAGCTCCATCAAGTCAATATCAAGGGCATATACTTAAATAGAAAGCTCACCAATAAAGAAATCATCTATATATATCAATCTCCTGGCTATTCTGAGCCTGGCTCTTATTCTGGTCAAGTCTGCCATCTCATAAAGACTCTGTATGATTTGAAGCAGAGTGGTTGTCACTGGTATCAATATCTCATTGAGATTTTAGTGATGCAGCTGGAATTCAAGCAATGTGATATTAATCAAGTCATATTTTACAAGCAAGAGGGCTGAAACTTGACTGTCATTGCTGTCCATATTGATGACTGCACTGTTGCAGCATCATCATTGCATCTAGTGCAAGAGGTAAAGGAAGATATGGCAAAATATGTGAAAGTCATAGATTTAGAGGAGCTGCATTGGATTCTTGGCATCGAGATCATATATGACTATGAGTCACACTCTGTTTTCCTTTTCCAATACTCATATATTGATGCCATTGTTTATCACTATAGCTTTGAAGACCTCAAACTAGTCTCTACACTAATAAATACTAATCTCCATTTGTCTTTCTTTCCTGCACCAGTCTCTATCTGAGAAATTGCAGTCATAAGAGATATTCCTTACAGGGAGTCTATTGGCTCTTTGATCTGGATTATGCTCAGGACATGCTCCGACATTGTATTTGCTATGACAATAGTCTCAAAATATTCAACAGCTGCTGCAGAGGCCCATTAAAAGGCTGTAAAACATATATTTGCTATCTGAAGAGCATGAGAGATTACTGGCTGATGTTTGAGGGAAATAGAAAGGTTTTGCATGAATATATGGATGCTGATAGGAGCATGGCAGAGGATAGGCATGCCATTACTGGATATGCTTTCATGCTGAATGGTGAAGCTGTTTCATAGTCATCTAAAAAGCAGAAGATTATCTCACTTTTAACTATTGAGTCTGAATATGTGGCTGCAACACATGCATTGAAGGAGGCACTCTGGCTTCACAGTCTGCTCTCTCAAGTTTTCTCATCAATTACTGATGCTACAACTTTATTCTCAGATAATCAGTCTGTCATTGCACTTTCAAAAGATCATCAGTATTATATCTGAACTAAGCATATTGACATTCACTTTCACTTCATTCACTGGGTCATTAGTGAAGACTCCCTTTATCTTGTTTATTATTCCACTGAGGACATGGTTGCCAATGCTCTCATCAAGCCTTTACCTTCAGCCAAGGTAAAGCACTTTGCCACTGAGCTTGTTAGGCCCAAACTCCACATGACTATCAACATATGATAAACAGTTCAGAACCTCACACTTTAGATTAGACTGACTGAGTTCACTGATGTGTTAACAGAGGTGTGTGGTCAAGGTGTTTGCAAGTCGCTTGAGATAGAATGGTAGAGAATAAACTTTAGCTTGAAGCTGGGGTATTATAGCAAGAGTGTTAAGCCCAAACTCTATGTGACTATTAACACATGATAAACAGTTTGGTACCTCACACTTCAGGTATGTCTGACTGAGTTCACTGATGTGTTAACAGAGGTGTGTGGTCAAGGCATTGCAGGTCGCTTGAGATAGGATGGTAGAGAATAAACTTTAGCTTGAAGCTGGGGTATTACAGCGAGAGCTATGCTACTTAAATACTGTTCTGTTATCATGCTATAAATAAATGTTCACAAAAGCTTGTTGTCTTGCTGTTGTGCTGTTACCCCTGCTGTTGCCAGTCTCTCCACAAAAGCTATTGTCCTGCTGTGTGCTGTTACTGCTGCGCTGCAGTTAGAGGACAAAGAAGGTATTGTCTCTCTCTTTACAGCATACAGCAATGCAATAGGAGAGTGACCAACTGGGTTGCTGAGCTAAGCATTCCCATAGTCCTAAGTGCTGGCCTAAGCACCCTGACTAAGCAAAGATAGAGGTCATTTTCGAGGAAAAAGAAAAGAAAACCAAAAGAAATAGGAAAAATCGTAACAAAGAGCTACACTACTTAAATACTGTTCTGTTGTCAGGCTATTAATAAATATTCACAAAAGATATTATCTGTTGTAAAGCTGTTACTCCCTGCTGTTGTCAGGCTCTCCACAAAAGCTGTTGTCCTGCTGTTGTGCTGTTGTCGTTGTATTGCATTTGGGAGACAAAAAGAGCAGTGTCTTTTCCTGCACAGTACACAGCTGTGATAAGACAATGACTGACTGGGTTGCTGAGCTAAGCATTCCCACAGTCCTAAGCACTGGTCAAGCACTCTGACTAAGCAGAGATAGTGGTCATTTCTGAAAGGAAAAAGAAAAGAAAATAGGAAAAATCATAACAGAGCTTAGACTTCACTCTGCTTGAGAGAGTGTGTTGGATTAGCAAGCAGGAGCTCCATCATATCCTGCTGGTGGAGCTCAATACCTCTTTATGTCAGGATAGACTATATATATTAAATACAGTCCATTGAGCACCTTCACTGCATTTCTGCTTATCACTATACTATGTGAGAGTGAGTATCTACTTATATTACTTTGTTTATATTACTGATTGGTATCCTATAGTCTATATTATAGCTAATAGTGTACTCTATTAGGTACAGTGAATATAACACTGTGTTTCTGCTTACTGCTATACTGTGTGAGGTCTACATTATAGCTAACAGTATACTCTATTAGGTGCTACAAATGCATGTCACTTTCTTAGAAAAGGACTATCAGCAGAAACAAAAAACCACTTATACTCAAAATAAACCTGTCTCATCCATATTGAAGATGTCCTTCAGCTGATATCTATTCTTCACAATGAGCTCACATATATACTTGTGCTCAGCATCAATATCTCAGGCTTAGCTGAACCAGCTTCTCCATGGTGCTTGATATTATACAAACCACATTGTTTTTTGAGACCAGACAACTAGCCCTCATTCAGTGCCAACCAGTTATCTTAGAGCACTCCCACAAGATCAGCAAACTATGTCCACTTCTGTCTCAAAATCTCCTTATTGAGATGGACCCCATCTGCCATAGCCTTCTAAATCCACAACTCCAGCATCTCATTGATCTCTGGATGCTCAGTTTGCTTTACACACTTTAAATTCCTTGTCTGTCCACTTGCTACCATTGCTGCATACTGATTCTGTATTTTCTGCTCATTTTTCAACCATGCAGACATTGTAGGCTGCTTCAACTGAAGATTTGGATAAATCTGGTTCCAATGCTCAGCTGTATTTCTCTGCTTAAATTTGGGATCTTGTGCATAATGCCAGTCTATGATCTTGATTTTTTACTTCAATGTTGCACTTTCCTTTCTGATAAAGACTGGTGGCTTTGCTTACTTGTCTGCATGTGGCTTTTTGATACACTCCTCAGATCCTATAGCATCAGAGTTTGGTTAGCCAGAGTCCAAAGATCCAGAACAGTGGTTACTCTTCCTTTTTTTACTTAGCATCAGATTTTTAATCCCACTTCCAAGTTTCTTCAATTTCTCCACCAATGACTTCTGCTGTGAGTTCAGATACTTCAACTCATGCTCATAATTGGATGCCTGATCCAGCAAGTCAAGAATTGTGACCTCCTCAACAGGATTGGCTTCATTGTCTAACCAGCACTCATTGTCATCAGATATAGGCTGCTTATTAGCAAGACAAGCAAGAAGATCATTTTTTCTGGTTTTTACTTGCTTCTCAAGCTTTGTGAGGCTATCTTTGAGTATATTGAGCAGCTTTTTTGATATTGAAAAGGTGTTCTCAGCAATTTCTAGCTGAGAGGCAGGCTCATATTGTGACACTTAGAGAGTGTAGCTATTAATTTTTATAAATACTTTCATGCAAAATGCACTAAATTCAGTGAAAATTCACAACTTTAGGCCAATTATGGGTTATGGAGTATGGAAGAGATTCAATTTTTAAGCAGTAACCAAGTTGGTAGATAGCCAAAATCTATGGGTTACTGCAGAGTATGGGTTATTACAAGTATGGGTTAAGATAGAGTTGACTGTAATTGAGACTTACAAGTAAGGTACCTGTTACTAAGAAATTCATAATTTGATACAATAAGATGTATTTTCCAAGCCTAAGAATTCTATTGGCTTAGGGCCAGCATCATATAGCTCCTGCAGCAGCTGTCATGCTCAGTTAGTCTAGCAGAGCCAGATGACATGCATTGATACAGCAGTCACATGCCTGATCTCTGAGCCATAGGGCGGTGCCTGTGTTGAGAGTATGCCTCTGTTGACGATCTTGTACATTTTCTCTCCTTTTCTTACCCTATTTCACATCCAAATCATGGAACACCTTATAGCATCTTTAAGCACTGATACCAGCATGGCATATTGCTAAGAAAGTCCTGAAATCCATCTGAGAAAGGTAGCTCTGATCAGTTGACCACTATATGATTCTGTAAAAGCTGCTTGCTATACTACCCAGTTATTTGCAAAGGTTGATACTCAGTGCAATAGCTATGACAAACCTTCTGATGCTATAGGAGACTTTAAGTTTGATGTTTACTCCTCCAACTGATGGATCTATAATCTTTGCCCAAATATTTGACTACCACTATGCAAAAAGTCGAGATCACACTCTCTTTCATTATGAGGATGATGCAGGGCAGATAATCAATATCAATTGGGGTAGAGCTGTTCTAGTGATCCATCTGGCTGCTCAATTCATCCACAAGAAGGTTACTTCAGAGTCCAAAAATCTAGTAGTCACCATATTGGCTGTCACAAGTATATTGTGCAAGTTTTTAATATTTGTAGCACAACAGTAATAATATCTACAGACACTATAATCTACTATACTACAATGGCAGACATTATGCATGCAGGATGTATCACTTTCCTAATTTCTGTATGCAACTCAGATGCAGTAGTAGCCCATCTTCTTTGGTCTACAGATGCCAAGTGCATGCTCCTGAGTCAAAACCCTGGAATGCAGAAGCTTGCAGCAGCTGCACTTCAGAAGCTAAAAGCTAGATATGAACATGCAGATATCCAAATGATACCTATGCCCTCTTTTGAGACCCTCTACTCCACATCGACATCTGCAAAGCTGTTATCTTTGATTCAGAATAACATGCTGGAGACTCAAGCACTAATCATGTATTCATCTGGTTCATAAAAATGTATGATTGTTCTAATTTGTCACTTGACCATTGGCCTTAGATTCTACTGCATTCCCAAAACCCATCTCATTCACATACAAGATCATGATGCAGTCTGGTCTTCTACCTTATAAGCTTTTCTCTTGGTAGCAATGAATTTTTGTTGCTCATTATATATAGATTTCAGTGAGATTGATATATGCAGAGATGTGTTATCTGTGCATGCTGTGCCAATGTTCTATCAGTAGACTTCTATGACTTCATCTCACTCATTGAATTGGCAATCTAGATCTTATGGGTGCTATTCACATTGCTTGGATGGTATGTTGATTTTTAATGCATTCAATTATGTAGAGCTTATGGCTGTTGAACTCAGGCTTACACTGGTGTGATCATGACTGTATTTTGACCTGGTTGGCCTCCACTCATTCTAATGCCTGATTGGATCTTTTCTGGTGCTATGGCGATAAGATACAATTCAATGTTCTGTGTTCCAGCATTTCTAGAGGTAACTGTGGCCAACTGACTGAATTCCTACTCCCTCAATAACTTCAAAACTTCCAATAGAACTGGGCAAAGAATCCTGAATGAGTAGCAAAACTAGCAAAATTCAAAACAATCATAGGTTTTCACAATACAGCACTTATGCTCTATGACATAGATACCTAGGTGTTTGCAGGCAGCTCTCTACAATCTGCCATAGATGACAGACTAATCCAAAAAGGTGTTTGTTTGGTTTCTTTGTATAGACAGTGAGTCATCAGATCTCAGTCATGAACAGTAAACATGCAGTGCTTATATCACTGTAAGGACAGAGACCACCACAGTCATGCTGTTCCTTTTAAGTCAATGTTTTTCATTTTCTGTGAGTCAGTCTAATTTCTTTATCATAGAGCGACCTCCCTCTGAAGGCTGAGACTATTGGAAGGTCAGAACTGTGACCAGTAGAACTCTGTGGTTTCAATTAATCTTCTGTTTCTAGTTCTCCCCTCATTGTACTCCAACCTTCATGCTCTTTGAGGAAGAGAATGGAGTTTACCATCTTGTGTTCAAGGTGAGTGCTTCTCATTAAAAAAAGATATGATGCTCCAACTGATCTACAGACAACCCCAACACATCAACTTGCTATTCTAAATACAGAAATAGATGATATTCTAGCCCTGGATACCAATGATCTCATAGCCAGACATCCTATAAACCCAGAACTATGGTGGGTGCATGGAGAAGGAGATGACCAAATTATGCATTCATCTGGAGAGAAGGCAAGCACAATATGCATCTATCAGATAAACTGTATTCAACAGAACTTCAGCATTGCAGACAAATCCCATTCCTATCAGTAGGTGTTTTTTACTCTAGTCATTCCATGTTGATTAATGATGTCAGAATATCCAGAGGATATATTGAACAAAGATCCTAAAATTTCCAGCACCATAATATTCAGGCATGAAAGATTCTATACTGGTGTTATTGTTATGCCTATTCTAGAGGAGCAAGTCTCCCCTAATGATGAGGGCAGACTTTCCTGACATCGAAATGCAATCTGATGCTTACACTCCTTATATCAACTCACAATATTCTAAATTTTTATTCAGGTCCATAGTAGAAAAAGCAAATCAGTTTGCACCTCAGTATTTCAGAATTTTCAAAGAGATAGAGGAACTCTCTGTTATGGTTATCATATACTTAATTGCCATTGCAGATGATTATCATTGCAGATATATTCAAACCATTTGAATTTACTCTGATGGGCACTCTATGATGACAGGCCATGCTAAACACCTACTCTGCTGACATTGACAAAGCCTATGAGGTTGTGAAGCAGTCATCTCAGACTCATCTAGTGGTTCTGATTGAATGGGAGCTTTTAAGCAGTTTGAACTTTGTCTGTGAGGCTGTAGAGAATGTCCTGATGAAGACAATGATGACCCCTTCTAAAATGGATATGACAGATATTGAAGTAGCACACCCTCCATGTCACTTTTACCTTATATAATCATAGCTACCAATACTGGAGATTGAAAGTCAATGCTTACTAGCTTTTGACTTTTGACTCCAGATCTGACTTTCTCCACTGTGCTATGCAACCTGCTATCAACAGGTTATGAGTCCTGTGTCTTACTAAGCCAAGCAATTTTTTTGTTCCCTCTCATGAACCATTCACTAAACATTGAAGTCTTGCTCATATTTCTAAGGGATATCACTATCCATTTGGAAGTCACATTCACCTATCACAGGCCTCCACACACTCTCTAACCCCAATAGTCTCTTTTTTTCTCACACCATGATAAATGACTCAGACATCATTGACACCATCAAATGTGGTTTTCTCAACCTTCATGCTGGCAACTGGAATCACTTTGCATCTTTGTTTAAGGCCTACATGTGCATCAAAGGGCTATTTGGCCACTTCAATAGCACTGAGGAGCCACCAGAGCAAGCCGACCTCAGTGAACTCACAAAGCTTGAAAAGAAGGAGACAAAAGCTTACCTTTAAGCTTGTTCATCTGCAGCAGGATACCTCTGGCTTTGCATTGATGAATCACAGCATGCTCATATCAGTCTTCTCATGGGTAAGCTCACAGCTATGTGGTTGAAACTGAAAGACATTCACCAACACCAAAAACTGAGCACTCATTTCAATACCTATAATGCCTTATTCAGCATTCGGAAGGATGATAAAGAGTCTCTCTCTACTCTTGTTGGATGTGTCTCACAAGCTATATAAGACATCAAAGCACTCTACCCTGAAAAGTTCACCATCGATCAACTCGATGAAGAGCTTCAATCCATGACTCTCATCTGTGCCCTCTCATCTGATCATGATAATTTTGTGTCATCAGTCTTTTTTCTCCATTTCCTCAGTCTCAACAAACTCATTGCCATCTTCCACACTGAAGAGATGCAGTGCTGCTCTTGTGATACCACTTCAGCAACATCATTCAAAGCAAGTGCTATCAGAGTCCAAGCCACTCATGTGGCATCATCTGATACTATCTGCAGCTAGTGCACTAACTCTGAACATACTGAGGAGGAGTGTTTCAGCAAAAAGAAAGCCAAAGAGTGAGCTATACAGCATGTCCAAGAATATCAGAATACAAAATTGGGCAAAAAGACAGAAGAGGCAAAGACAGAGAAGTCAAACATCATAGAAAAGACTGCCAGCCAAGCAAGTATTGATCTCTTGTCCCCAGCATCATCTAACTGGAATATGGACACAGGTACTTCATCTCACATGAGCCATCATCAAGACTGGTTTCATGTCTGGACACCATATGTAGTTCTGATTCAGTTAGCAGACAATTCAATCATTTATTCAGTGGACATAAGGACAGTTGTGTTTGAGCCTAAAGAGAAGAATGGAGAGGTCTGTGAGGCTGTCGAGTTCCAGGATGTATTGCATGTATCTGATCTTTATAATAACTTGCTTTTACCCTTCCATCTTACATGTCATAAAGGATATGAGATCAACATAGCTGGGTCATCAGTCCAGTTCTTTCAAGATAAAGCACTCCGTTTCTCAGCTACTGTCAATGATAACAACATTGGATATCTCAATGGCACTACTCACACTACAAGGCTGGTAATCTCAAGTACTGCAAGCATCTGTCCACTTGACCTGATCTTATGACATCAATGAACCTGTCACAGAAGCATAAACATTGTCCAGGACATGTACAAGAATCAGCTTATCTTAAATATAAAGAGGAACAATATGCAATCCAATCCTGACCCAATTTGTGAACCTTGCCTTATAGGCAAGCACAGGTGACATAATATTCCTCGAGACCCCTCACTCCTTCCAACATGCCCTCTTGCAATTATATTCTCTGATCTTAAGGGATCTATGCCAGTTGCTACATCAGAAGGTTATCACTACTGGATCACTTTTATATATAGTGCTCTGTGTTTTTGGATTGTTGCCTTGCTAAAGCACAAGAGCAATGCTCTGGCTGAATTTAAACACTACAAAGCCTATGCTGAAAATTTTCATGGTCTGAAGATCTTAGAGAAGCAAGATGACAGTGGAGGAGAGGATATGGGTCGTGAATTTGATCAGTTATGTATAGAAGAAGGGATATCAAGGCACCATACTGAGCCTGATGAGCCTCATCAAAATGGAATTGCAGAATGTGCAAATCACGATATTGCTGAAGAGGCCATTACTATGCTCTATGAAGCTCATCTTTCTTCTTCTTTCTGGAGACTAGCAGTGCTTGCATTCATATATATGCACAACCATTGCTCTATAGCACCACTTCCTAAAACAACACCATACACTGGCTGGCACAAGAAGAAACCTGATGTCTCTAACTTGTATGTCTTTAGCTGCTTAGCCTATGTCCATGTCAAAAAGAACAAGTGATAAGGTCTTCAGCCATGCATCACCAAATGCATATTTGTTGGATATCCATCAGGTACAAAGGCATGGAAGTGCTGGAACCCTATAACTAAGAAGTTCATCATATCAAGCTATGTCATTTTTGATGAGCGAATGTTCTCAGAAAATACAAAAACTCTTATCAACCCTTTCAGTGACCTATTTTCTCTACTCTCAAATCTGTCAGATTCTCCTATGCTGCCTGATCAAGGGGAAGATCTTAACAATGATGATCTTCCACCTCCAAAAAATCCTCCAGCACCAAATCTCTCACCTCCTCTAAGCCCATCACCTCCAGTATCATCTCTTCCCCATAATGCTATGACTCCTCCTGGCTCATCATTCAATGGATCTCTCTCAGACCTAACTCCATCACCATCACCACCACCTCCAACAGACCTAGGCAAACATGAATACAGAATACATGATGGCTTATATGATCCTGGCCCTGGTTATGGTCATGGAATGTACTGAAATCTTAACAATGATGATCATGCAAGAGATGCAGAGGATCAAGCACACACAGCCTTTATGGAAGATAAAACTATTCTTGAAGGCATAGCTTTCTCCAGCCAGACAATCGAGCACTTGACGATAGAGGAAGGACTTGAAGTTGCATTCGAAAGCATGACAGAAGCAGCTTACAAGGCATCTACACATGATAGTGAACCTAAATCCTTCCATGAAGCTATAAAACACTCTCCAGAGGAAGCTGCAAGTTGGTATGAAGTCACTATATAAGAGATACAGGCACTCATTGAAAATGGTGTCTTCGAATTGGTGAAATGCCCTCCAAATCGAAAGGCAGTTGGGAGTCACTGGGTATTCAAAGTGAAATGCAATGCTGATAGATCAATTGAGCACTATAAAGCAAGACTCATTGCAAAGGAATACTCACAATGACCTGACTTCCATTACACTGAAATCTTCTCTCTAATGCTAAAATGGGCTGCTCTATAAGCCATCCTGACACTTGGTGCCCTTGAGGATTTAGAGCTATGGAGTGTCAATATCTCATCAGCATTTCTCAATAGTGAGCTGACAGAAGAGGTGTATATGGAGCAGCCAGAAGGATTTGAGAAAAAAGGAAAGAAATGGGTCTGGCACCTCTTCAAGTCTCTATACGGACTAAAGCAAGCTGGGAGAGAATGGCACAAAAAGCTACATGCAACATTGACCAATGCCATGGGTTTTGAACAGGTAAAATGCAAGCATAGTGTCTGGGTTTACAAGAGGAACAGTGAGCAAATCATCATTCCAGTCTTTGTCGATGACATGACTATTGCCACAAAGACACCAAATGGTGTTATAAAGGTCATCAATGATCTCAAAAAGCACTTCAAGCTTCGAGACTTGGGTCCAATGTCTTACCTCCTTGGTGTCGAGATCAAGCGTGACCGAGCCAACCGAACACACTCTCTCTCCCAGCGCCAATACACCCTAGATATTCTGCAACATGCAGGAATGGCTGACTGCAATCCTGTTCTGACACCTTTGGATCTAAACATAAAACTTACAGCAGATCAGTCTCCCAAAACACCAGAGGAATATGAGACAATGCGGACAATCCCATACCTGAATGTGCTTGGCTCTGTGGCCTACCTCGCTATCGCTACCAGGCCCGATGTTGCCTATCCCGTGAGTGTACTCTCACGATTCAGCAAAAACCCTGGCACAGCCCACTGAGAAGCTCTCAAATGGCTATTACGCTATCTGAAGGGCACAGTCGACTATTGCATTGTCTACTCTCCTGACTCTGAGTCAGATTCATCAGTCTTTGACTTCAAGACTTACTGCGATGCAGATCATGGGGGTGACAAAGATAGTGGGTGTTCTACAAGCGGCTTCATTGTCAAATGGGTACTGGAGCCATTAGCTGGATGAGTCATCTTCAGGCATTCGTGACACTCTCAACAACAGAGGCAGAATACGTTTCAGCCGTGTCTGCTGGTCAGAAAATCCTTTGGCTTCACAACTTGTTCACAGAGTTTGGCTATTCACTCACCAATGTCTCAGTCCTCTATATCGACAACGAGTCTGCTTTGTCAGTTGCCTGAAACCCTGAACATCATGGCTGGGTCAAACACCTTGACCTTTGATTCTATTGGCTGCGCGATGAAGTTGAAAAAGGGTGCATCCATGTGGTCCACTTATGAACCGAAAATATGCCAGCCGATGCCTTGACAAAGGGATTAGGAAGAGAGAAGCTCAGACACATGATTACCTTACTCGGACTTGTCTCAATACCTCCGTAGACATGTTCGGTTGAGGGGGAGTGTTGAAGTAGCACACCCTCCATGTCGCTCTTACCTTACATAATTGTAGCTACCAATACTGGAGATCGAAAGTCAACGCTTACTAGCTTTTGACTTTTGACTCCAGACCTGGCTTTCCCCGCTGCGCTATGCAACCTGCTATCAACAACAGGTGCGGAATTCTATTTGTTATTATCACCTTGCCTTGCTGATCCGGTACTAGCCTCCAAGCGACATGGATCCGCAATACGATCCTTCATGCTCTGCGCTCAACCTCGAAAATCAACTCCCGTGACATCCCACACAATTTCGTCTACGCAAATCTTACAATCCACTTATTAAGTGAATACTTAGTAACGGTAGCTCAAGGGTCTTACTTGAAGGATACCAGGCACCAGACACAGGTCATGTTAGATATGGCAAGGCAGTACAGCACCGACTTCCCAGTAGCAGAGAGCACCTTGGTCCCTGACAGCTCCAAGGAGGTCGTCTTACTCACAGGTTCAACGGGTGCTTTCGGCAGCTATATTCTAGATGCGCTTCTCCATTCAGATGACGTCGTCAAAATCTATGCAATTAACCGTTCAAGGCACTCCTGGTCTTTTCTGCGGTAGACTGACGCTTTCAATGAATGCGGATTAGACGCAAACGTCCTTACAAGCCCGAAAGTCATATTTTTGGATTGTGATCTGTCTGCGAACCTGTTTGGTTTGGATTATTGGGTCTACCACGAGCCCACTGAGGATGTGACGTCCGTTATCCACAATGGTCAGTCCGGGCAGACCTGGAAAGGGAGCTTCTCTGCTTAACTTGATTTACAGCCTGGCGTGTAGATTCTAATATTTCACTTGCATCTTTGGAGCCTCTCATCCGTGGTACTCGACGTCTGATCGATTTTTCTCTAACTTGTCGCATGGCGCCGCGCTTTGTCTTCACGAGCTCAGCTGGTATATTCAGGAGTATGTTTCTTTGTTTGTCCTAGGTGGGTGACTCATGGGTTGGCATAGATACGCAAGGCTCTTCCTATGCTGCAGCTGAAGCATTTCTTGCTGATCCTGCTATTTCTGCTGGCTGGGGCTACGGCGAGTCCAAGTGGGTGGCGGAATACATTCTGGAAGAGGTGGCCAAAAGCACGACGCTAAAGCCTGTAGTGGTGCGCACGGGACAGCTCACAGGAGGCACTAATGGCGCATGGAATGTGAAGGAGTGGTTCCCATTGCTGGTCAAGTCAAGCGAGGACGTGAAATATCTTCCCGACATTCCAGATGTACGTTTGCTTCCAATATCATTTTCTTGGATCTTCGCTAACAGATCCCCCTTTAGTGTGTGTCGTGGATTCCTATTGACATAGCCGCCAAAGCCCTTGTAGAATTTCGCTTCAGCAAATGCCGTTACATCCATCTTTTGCATCCTAGACATGTGGCAGCCTCAGTTATTCTCCAACGTGTCGCTTCCACGTTGAGTATTCCCCTCGTACCTTACTCTCAGTGGATTGATGCTATCTCGCAAACCGCTCTGGAGGAAGGGTCCGATCATGCTGTTACCAAGACTCCAGTCCTTTGGCTCTTAGAGTTTTTCCATTCCCAGGGTGCTACAAGCAACAGGGAAGCCTTCGGTTTCCCGAGTCTACAGACAACGAACCTGGAACAATCCGTGACTTTAGGGAACCTGTATCAGCTAGGGGTAGGGGATGTTGACAAATGGTTGAGTTACTGGTGAGGCGCCGGTTTTATCGTTTGAACGAGACGAATCGGGTCTGGTACTTCCTTCCTTTAACTTAGGCAGTAAAGATTCGAAGGTATGCATGTAATAACAATACGCAGGTGAAAATATGACAGCTGAAGATTTACATGTTGGTACGGATATAAAGCGCCTTGTCGGGCTACTGTCGATCCGCTTTACTGCAAGTCCGGTGACAGGGCGTCGTACTCTGGACACAGCGTCAGCCAGTCCTGAGGTCTGACCTGGGCGTGCGGGCCTTTGATGTTGTCGGCCGGACTTTCCGCAAAAACTATAGCCAATCCGGCTTCCAAATGCCAGTCAATGTGGCTGCCAGATACTCATGAAATGAACGATGGTCTTTGAATGAGCGTCTATAACTCACCAGTGCAAGAACCAAGCTCCCGGATTATCCTATAGTGACATTTAGTAATTCATTTTGCTTTCTATGTAGACTTACGCTGAAGAACCGGAATGTTGTGTTTCCGCCATTGACTGAGCAACTACGTTCACATCAAAGAAAGAGGATTCAAAGGAAGGTGACGTACTGGGGACAACGTCGCGCCTTGGCGGGTTGACATAGTTGGTCACGTTGGAATTGGAAGTGCGAATGATGTCGAAGTTATGTCCATGTACTGTCCGTATACTGCGTGAGATGTAGATAAGTGAGTATTCAAAAAGGGACACACAGTGAAACGGATGAGCTGGAAAAGAATAATTATGAAAATAGGAAAGAAGGTGCATGAGGCTCACCCCCAGTACCCGGAATCGAAATCTCTACCGTTTTATTTGGTGGGAGAAGGAAGATCTTGCCAATAGCTTGAGAACAATACCCAGTCTTGAGAAGCGAGGCTTACTTGTTCCTGAAAGGGAACGACACCAGTCTATACACAAAAAGAAGAAATCACAAACACCTACCGCAGGAAGGAAATCTTGTGGCTGCGCAGCTCCACTCAGGATCTGCAAAAGGACAGGAAGGGATGGGGAGATGTAAGAAATTCCATTTATGTCAAAGAACGGTGGATTTGGCTGGTATTTGGTGTATTCAGTGGCAAGATTGCTTCAAAAAGGCGTTAAGAACCTGTGTGATACTCAAAGTATAAGCAACATCTGGGGGACCGTCTCCCAACTACGAAAGGATAAGCTTGAGAATGTTGAAATCTGCATCATACGTACCTTTCCAGGTCCTTCTTGGGCAATAGGCTATAATTACGAAAATCTTGTCAAGATTTACTTCGACAATATCAGGCAATAGGACGAACGTGCATATCGGCATCATCTAGCTTAATACCAGGTGTATTATTTGTGGTGGGCTCTATGTTGGGCGCACCCTCATATCGCAAAATTGCGCGCGTCAAATCAGGATTGACTATAGGTATGATGAGCAGAGGAATAAGTGTTGGAAAACAGTGAGCTCCTACAGTTCGGGTTTCCGGCCGGGCTTCCACCAGTTGGACTGATACAACAATAAATCCGGTGTTCAGTCTGATAAAAGTCGAAACTTACGGTGCCCGAATCCAGTAATTATCAATCGGCTGGTTCGCTTCGAGGATGACCGAGACGCGCTGTGCTGTGCCCAAGTCTTTGTCAGTAGATACCTTCAATGATGTATTGACAGGGAACCAACCGGCATAGATATCAATGTTCTGCACTGTGACCGGGTCGTGTTCAACCCCGTCAAACTCCATCGCACTGATGTTGTGGTTGTCGATTGAGAAAGTGAAGAAAGGGCGGCAGGAGATTGATATGAGACGCAGACGGTATCGTTTGCCTCTTTTGACCTTTATTACGGAGTACGGTACTAAGGGCTAGCGAGACTCAGTGACTAACCAGGGGTGAGTAAACAGTTACAAGACTCACACCACCGTTGTAGCGCCCGACTCCATTAATAAGACCTTTTTTCCAAGGTAAACGATCGAAGGATGTCAGAGTGCAAGCAGGGCATACCGGAGTCAGGAATCCTAACGACCAGGAAAGGTCAGGTAGTCTGTGACATCCCGGAACAGCAAGAACTTACGGGACAGTCCCAGTTTGGAAGAACCTATTCTGGGCGTCCGGTGCAAGGTCGTGATACCAATCCGCAAGTGTGATGATAGTGCTGTCTATCCGCTTATCGGTATACTGCATGTAAGTAAAATTTGATGATAACATACCATCATCCACGTCATACAGATGGGCAAGAGGATCATGCGGGTCTGTGCTTAGAGCTGAGAATGTCCACGATAGGACACAAGTTTCGTACTTACCGTAAACGATAAATGCCCCTCTCAAACCATCACAATATTGTGTCGAAAGATGGGAATGGTACCAGTAACTAACCGAATCCATGAGATCACAAATACTTCGCGCATATCAAAACTATACCTACTTGCCGCTTTGTCCGATGGTGCTAAAAGCGTAGTCGAAGGTCGATTTTGGCGGAATCGGGCATTGATTAACAAACCTAGGGTTGGTAAGTATCGATTCAAGATTAATATGTGAGTTGGCATGCTTACGAGGGCCCGTCCATTACTGACGTACGAGCTTGGAAGAAGCCATGCCAATGCTAGAGAGCAAAAAAAGGTAATTTATATACGCTTTGGTGCTATTGGTTCCTACAATTGAGAGACTTCTTCGCATCCCAGGATCGGTAAGGTTATTTGTAGTCACAATATGGACGTCGTCGCCCTTGTTTATTTTGAAAGTTGGCCCCGGGAAGGTTCCATTTGGCGTTATAGCCCTGTGATGTATAAAGTATCAATGAGACGGAGCGGCACGATTCAGGAGTGTCCTACGATCGAGCAAACCCGTCGGGAGCAATGACTTTGTTGTCAATACTGAGAGGGAAGTGATGAGTCGTGCCATAGACAGACGAAAGGAGGGAGACAAGCAAGAAGGTAACAGCTTTGATACCCATCTTGTGAACTGAGAGAGACAAACGGGGACGAAGATTTATTTCCTGGACGTACCAAGTTTTATAGACGAGACATTTGTTTCCAAGACCAAATGCCCTGGCTAGGGAGAGGCGGGAGGTTCAATAGCCGAACACTGGGAAAGCAGACGACGTGGATCCATCTCTTTGACGGGAGGTCCAACGTCGAGGTTGCCTGAGCCGTATGGAAGTTATGGTGAGATGATCGGTGGCGTGTAATGCATAGATATTGAACTTTCCTAACTATTGCTGCAGCTTTAGGGCAAAGGCTTCAATTCGTGGCAAAAATCCCACCACGGCGAGAAGATTCACTAGGAAAAGATTAGCTCTGATACACACGAGGGCTCTACTTGACCTCTCCCCTGCTTGGCGGCTGAACTCGTTGAAGTAAATAGTTCAATCACAGTGCCTTGCTTGGCAGTCTACAATGATGGGACTCAATTCAGCACATTATATATTCACAGGCTATTTGTTTTTGACTGGCTATGATTCGCTTCCATGGACCGTAAAACTGGTGAGATTTGCCTTGGTTTCGTGTCGGTACTCGGTTTCCCGAGCCTGCGATGGTCTTGTCCTTCATTTCGAGTAAATGACCATGTAGTCTCGCGATGCCAAGCGAGGAATAGATTTCGGTAGTATTCAAAGTGGGTAGCGAGTGTTCTACAATTCTGTAGAATGATAAGTTTGAAGGAAACAGTATAACATAGTTGACACACCCTTCCATTATTGGCGGCACACATAGACATCTTGCCTTTCCACTTGATGACTCGTACTTATATGGATTCGATACGTACTTTATATAAATGAGTTACGAATACGAGATGGTTATTCAGGTCAGAGGGCGCATATCTTGGCATATGCGGTGAGAACTGTGTGTACGTTGAACAGGTCCCTGAGATCAGGAAGAAAAAAATGGCAGTTTGAACTGAAAAGGCAAACGATGAGGATATTGAGAGGGGAGATGGGGGTCTCCTTTTCATTGGGAGCATGTAGCTCTCATAGGTAAACGATACATGCAATTTGCGACCATGATGAGTGGAGGATAGGCCACAAAGCAGTCATAACAATCCCCAACTAGACATACATCTACCGTTTTTTCTGGGCCCTTTTGCCGTCCTCTGGACCATCGTTTAGAAAGGGGACGGAGAACAAAAAAGAGAGTAAAAGCACCATTCTTTTTCAGCTTTTTCGGCGCGCCCTTCCCTCTCTTCTTCCTATCAATAATATCTTGGAACCTCTGCTGTTCTTTCTCATCCACGATCCCCAACGCTGGGTATTGACGGGCAATCGCAGAGATGTTAAGGGCAGGCGGATAATATTTGACCATGGAAGGACCGCGAAGACGGGCACGGAGGTATTTGGCACCAGTCCGGATGCGTGTAGGATTGTACGTCGTTTGGAATATTGAGCATCGTAAACGGGTCAGTGCCTCCAGTGTGGATTGCCGCACATTACCCATGACGGTTAAAAGCCAACCCTAACCCCGCGTCCATCAGAATTTGAAAATCAAAACTTTTCCCTCTCTGCGCCATCGTCGCGCTCTTGGGATGCAACGCAGTGCAGCGGCCTCATGCTCCAAGTATTGCGCATGGATGACGCCCGACTCTTGGCCAACTTTTCCGTCGCTGGGCTCCCACATTTCACGGAGATTTAGGTCTGGAGCCAGTCGACGAACAACTATCCGTTACACGAACCCTTCCCACTTGTCGAGGAACGCACTCTCGCATGCCATTGCACCACCGCCTCCTAAAGTCGACATTGTTTCCATCGCCAGACGCCTGACACCAGAAAGACCCGAGGCCATTCTCCAATTCTTCGAGAAACATGTTGCAGATTGGGCAGCATCTAAACGGGTCGCAGACCGGCTCGCTCTCTTTGGCGTGCCCCACGAACACATACCGACAGTTCTGCTCGTCTTCACTCAAGCGGTCGCCAGCAAGAAGCTGTCCACACGGAACGGATACATCGACTATTCCCTTGAGCGTTTTGGTCGCATGTCCCCAGATGATGATGAGCGACAATATTTCGACATGGTCTACAACATCGTCCTCTACACCTGGGTATCTGACCCTTCGAACCAGGCTTATCTCGAGTCACAGAACATCCCCACTTCCGTCATTCACAGTATGCGTGCTCTTTCAGATGCGACTTCCCGCCCGCATCCCGGAGATCATTATCCCTTTGCCAGGGGACTTCGTCGCAAATTTATCATGCATGTCGGCCCTACCAACAGTGGTAAAACACATCACGCACTTCGGGCCCTGGCTGCTGCACCCACCGGAATCTACGCAGGACCTTTACGGCTACTCGCCCAAGAGATTTGGGAGCGTCTGAATCTCGGTCAGATCGTTCCGGCAGGGACAGAGGAAGGGCACGTTCCGGAACCACCATCACCACGAGCAGACTCGGCTTTTGATGTCAGTCCCGAAAAACCATCGTTAACCAAACTCGGAAATCCCAAGTACGCCAGGGAGTGTAACATGGTCACTGGGGAGGAGGTCAAGATCGTCAATGAGAATGCCTCGCTCTACAGTTGTACTGTTGAGATGATCAAGCCAAACATACTTTACGACGTTGCGGTCGTCGACGAGATCCAGATGATTGGAGATGCAGAACGAGGATTTGCATGGACGGAAGCTGTACTCGGTCTCAACGCACGAGAGATTCATTTGTGTGGAGAGGAAACCGCAGTGCCTATCATCGAGGCCATGGTCAAAGAAACGAACGACGATCTCGTTGTGAAACGTTACGAGCGGCTTACACCATTGGAAGTCGAGAAGCAGAGTTTGCAGGGCGACCTCAGCAAGGTCAGAAAAGGTGACTGTATCGTTGCCTTTTCTCGGCGGTCCATCTTCCAGATGAAGCGGGACGTGGAGAAGTTGGGGATGAGCTGCGCTACTGTCTACGGTAGACTACCACCGGAGGTTCGCAGCGAGCAGGCAGATCTGTTCAACGATGCCGGGAGTGCATTCGATGTCCTCATTGGAAGCGATGCTATTGGCATGGGCCTGAACTTGTTCGTTTCATTTTTGCTTGTTTGACACAACTAAACTAACGATCATAAACAGGAAAATCCGACGTATAATATTCTCGGACGTGCAGAAATATCACCAGGACACCGTCAAATATCTTTCCATATCTGCCACGAAGCAAATCGCTGGACGTGCGGGACGGTTCGGCTTGCACGGGTCAGAAGTGCCCGGAGGGTTGGTGACGACTCTCAATGAAGCACACCTTCCATTCCTCACACGGACGATGAAACTCTCCATACCATCTCTGAAAACTGCTCGCATCACACCCTCATATCCATCGCTCGTCGCCACAGTGAGTGCTCTGCCCCTTCATTCCGCCATGAACACCATATACCTAGCCCACGCATACACATCGAAGCTCTCCCCTACTTACCGATACGTCTACGGCAGTGCCACCAGGCTCTCCACCAACTACCTAGACGCGTACATCCAGGGCGCCTCGCTGACCGATTTCGATGTCATGCTCGCCGCCCCCATCCCATGGCGCGACCAGGAATGCCTCTCATTCGTCGAGCGACTCCTGACTCTCTTTAGCACCCAAGGTGTCGCCAGACTCGAAGAGTGCATGGAGGAGACCCCGTTCATGTCCACACTAGAAAAGGTCGAAAACAGGAACGTCTCAACGAATGAGGACCTGTTGCTCTTGGAGACGTTCCACAAGATGCTCGGGCTCTACACGTGGTTGAGCTATCGCCGGCCTGTGGCGTTTCCTGACCAGTCGAAGGCGGCGGAGCTGAAGCCGCGGGTGCAGGCGGGTATCGAGACCGCATTGGATTGGATGAGCGCTACTAAGAGGGCGAGAAATAATGTGCCGAGGAGGAAGGTGGTTGATTATAGTCCTGTTAAACCGACGGGAGGGGCGAGGGTGAATAAAAGAGCGAAGCTATTTGCTCAGTATACTGCGAAGTATGCGTAATGGATCTTTGATGCTGTATAATAGTAGTACGTTATTACAGGAGCTAAGTACAGTATAGCGACATTGGTTAGACTGGCACTACACTTGAGTGTCTTCGCAGCTTTGGGTCAAGTTCAACCGTATCGCGGTGCAAATCAAAGGGCCACACAATTATACAGATATCGGAATACATCAAGGGTCATGCATATCCACGAGATGATTATCTATAAAGTCAGCAGTAATGCTCAAGATAGAAAATACATACAACTCCCATACGGGCTCGCAATGCCACTTGATTTCCTGTCCAGACGCCCACGGATCTCTCGATGAGCCCTGTGATTCAACAAGATCAGGTTGCTCCAAGTTCTGTGGAGAAGTAGTCGTTGTTCATATTACAGTGCGTCAAAATTTCAGCCATGTACGTCGGTGAGAGCTTCAAATTAACGGATGCTGCAGAGATACGTCTCATTAAACGCTGATAATTACCGGATCACTGGTGAATGATATCATGATATTCATCATATCATTCCTATGGATTGGCTCAAACATTCCGCTGAATTCATCACGGTCCATTGCGCGACTACTCATGACAGGCTCGATTACACATCCATACTTCGATCCAACTTTCTCCAGCGGTCCCTTTCTTACAGTATAAAGATGTTCAAAATACGGCAGAGATATCAAGGTCCATTGCATCCCCATCAATACCGTTCATCATACTTCAGTACATCCCCGCAATCGATGCGATTCCATGTACTCACCCTCATCATCCTTCTGTGCCACAGAGCTCAAGCTCACCAGCCATCTGAACTCTTCGACGTCTTCGAGACTTTCAGACTTTCTTGACAGGGTATCTGATTTAGATTTCTGAAAAGGTACTATCCTAAGCTTCCACGAAAAGGATCATCAACTATGCAAGTGGCGAACACACTTCCATATGGATTAACGTGATGGCCGATTAGTCGCACGAAATATCTCTGAGAATGCATATCATCGCAGTTCCCTCTGAGTCTTCGTTCCAATAATTTCAAATTTTCTTAGAATTCATCTATGGTGTACCCGCAGCCCTGGCCAGAGCCAATGCCACCCAATTGATTGGGTATCCTACAAATGTCGTCGTCGAATCGCTTGCAATTCAGTTCTCTGTAGTATCAGCTAGCACTCTTTTCTCCCTGCACTATGCTACTGGGCAGATCGTTCCACTGCAGGTTGATATGTGGCTGCACTTCAACGATGACTTGCAAATCGACGCCTACGATTTCATGCCCCGCAAGCTCGACAAATTCCTTGACACTGTAGCGCTGATGCTATCGGACCAGATCTCTTTGGAAATGCCACTAAACGTCAAGGATAACATTGCAAGTATCATTTCGCAAAAGGTCTCAGAGGACGTTTGTACAGCAGCTTTGGAAGATTGCACTGGAACTAATCAGCAATATGATTCGTATGTCGGCCTTTCCCAGGGAAAGTGTTATCCTGAAACTAAGTCTTTTTGTAGTAAGAGCGCGTGTGTAAAGTCGGTCAGTAGCTCGGAGACCGATACGGATATCTGCCGGTATGTTCAGTCTTCAGCATATGTACACCCCGATGGCTTAGACTTGCTGATATATAGATATATGTTCAAGAATATGGTGCAGTCTGAGCCCGACGCGCACTGCGCAAGCCTTGGTCCGGATGGAGGCGACTGTGGTAAGATATGTCGAGGTCAATCAACCTCAGATCTACACTAACCTTGTTATACTTCGAGCTGATCTTCGGGCGCCAGATGTCTTCGAACTGACGTATCGTAAGCAAATGCGACGCCCTTTGCTTATACACCACTTCAGTGTACGCTCTGTATTTTGTCCTCATTCGAGAATCGTTCCTGACGATAATTTACAGGCCCTGTTCTCTACAATTTTCCTGCAAGTCATGCTTCAGATGTCCATGCATATTGAAATCGTTTGCGTGGGACTGCTATGGCTCTTCCAAGTAACGACCGAACAATCCATTTCCATCAGGCTTCTTTTATATCTGCTGAAGTATCCCAGGCATGTAGTAGAACCAACGTTAAAGTTCGCCACGGTACAGTCCTTGTATGTCTCATTTGAAGAGGCCAGTCTCGATGATGATCTTTGACTAGCAAAGCATCTACAAAACCGTGTTCCTTGTGTGGTTATTGGTGTGGTGGGGATTGAAACTGGCTAAGTATCACAAAGACTTCGACATCGCACTCAGTGTCATGTTGATGTTGACTTGCACTGTTCTTATGGCAACACAAGTGTGTGTATCTTTCCTTGTTTTTCCAAATTCAATATCATATAAAAGTAACCTTTTTATAGCCAAGGGCCTTACGCGGTGTGGGCTATCGCACAAAATATTTCTCGTTCGTGTCAACGACTAGCCATCAAGAAGTCAGCCATTGACATAGACAATGTATTCCTGTTGCGGGACGACACAAGTACCTGATGTCAACCTTATATAAGCATAGACAGTTTTGTCCTGAGTCGACGGTCAATTGCCTTTAAGCAATTGACC